TGACAAAGGGATGAGAGGTAAATTTCTGTGAATGTCTTCTAACATTAGCTTCCCAGAGGATGATAAAGCGGATGTATTGGTTAAACTAGCAATAAGTAAATAGAATATCAAATATAATTTATGATTTTCAAACAAAAATTTAAAAACTATAGTTAGAAGAGAACATGTAAACAAGTCTGAAGAAAGAAATGACAATAAAACGCGTGATTGTAAATACGAAAATATTACAGTTTTTTTTTTTTATTCGCCGGTATTCTCCCGGCCCGGGTCTTTTCCAAGTAGTGGTGACCCGGCCTTGGCTCCCTATCTGGGGAGTGTCTCGAGACTTAAGTCTCCCATGGGAGGAGGTACAGTACCTCCTCATCTTTGGGACCAAGTGTCCCCAGGCCTAGCCACATTTCCCGCCCTCACGGGGCTCGTAGAGAGAAGCTAGGCCTCTGGTCTGCCATCTACCCCGCCTCAAAGGGGCTCGTGGGGATGGCAGTCTTATGAGCTGCAGATGGTAGCAAGCTCAGGCCTCTAATATTACAGTGAAAACAGGAAATAAAACCTGAGCGCTTTCATGTGTTTACACACATATCTGAAGATATGTGTATTATGATGGGCAGATGTACGGCCCATCATAACACAGGGTATCCCAAAAGTATATATAGCTAATATATTTTTTTTGATACCCTTTAAGAACGCTTTTGTCAAAAGAACATATAGAAATGATTCTCATGGATGGATCGGGAAGCTGTTGTCATGGTTGCAAGGAATTTTAACAGGAAACGTCGCAAGCACATCACACACGACACTGTTGCCAAATTTATTGTGAAAATCAAAAAGACTGGAAGTGCTGCGGACCAAATGTGTTACCACGAGGCCATTATGAGTGGGAGAGGCGCAGCCGCCTCTGTTCTTAACAAAGAATGGCAGTCACGTAGTAGAGAATATACTGTAAATATAGTTACCTTTGCTAAAACTGATAAATTTTCCTGTGTGTGGAGACTTCTGGGGCACGTATGTTATGTCAACACATTACTAATATAATTTCAAGTATTAAGTTATCAAAATGTTTATATAAACATTACAATTGTACATTATTATTATTATTAGTAGTAGTAGTAGTAGTAGTAGTATAGTAATAGTAGTAGTATAGCAGTGGTTAGTAGTAGTAGTTACAAAGATGGAGCAGCAGGTGGAGGTGTTACTTACAAAGATGGAGCAGCAGGTGGAGGTGTTACTTACAAAGATGGAGCAGCAGGTGGAGGTGTTACTAACAAAGATGGAGCAGCAGGGGGAGGTGTTACTAACAAAGATGGAGCAGCAGGTGGAGGTGTTACTAACAAAGATGGAGCAGCAGGTGGAGGTGTTACAAAGATGGAGCAGCAGGTGGAGGTGTTACTTACAAAGATGGAGCAGCAGGTGGAGGTGTTACTAACAAAGATGGAGCAGCAGGTGGAGGTGTTACTAACAAAGATGGAGCAGCAGGTGGAGTGTTACTAACAAAGATGGAGCAGCAGGTGGAGGTGTTACTTACAAAGATGGAGCAGCAGGTGGAGGTGTTACTAACAAAGATGGAGCAGCAGGTGGAGGTGTTACTAACAAAGATGGAGCAGCAGGTGGAGGTGTTACTTACAAAGATGGAGCAGCAGGTGGAGGTGTTACTAACAAAGATGGAGCAGCAGGTGGAGGTGTTACTAACAAAGATGGAGCAGCAGGTGGAGGTGTTACTTACAAAGAAGGAGGAGCAGGTGGAGGTGTTACTAACAAAGATGGAGCAGCAGGTGGAGGTGTTACTAACAAAGATGGAGCAGCAGGTGGAGGTGTTACTTACAAAGAAGGAGGAGCAGGTGGAGGTGTTACTAACAAAGATGGAGCAGCAGGTGGAAGTGTTACTTACAAAGATGGAGCAACAGATGGAGGTGTTACAAAGATGGAGCAGCAGGTGGAGGTGTTACTTACAAAGATGGAGCAACAGGTGGAGGTGTTACTTACAAAGATGGAGCAACAGGTGGAGGTGTAACTTACAAAGATGGAGCAACAGGTGGAGGTGTTACTAACAAAGATGGAGCAGCAGGTGGAGGTGTTACTTACAAAGATGGAGCAACAGGTGGAGGTGTTACTTACAAAGATGGAGCAGCAGGTGGAGGTGTTACTTACAAAGATGGAGCAACATCTGGAGGTGTTACTTACAAAGATGGAGCAGCAGGTGGAGGTGTTACTTACAAAGATGGAGCAGCAGGTGGTGTTACTTACAAAGATGGAGCAGCAGGTGGAGGTGTTACTTACAAAGATGGAGCAGCAGGTGGAGGTGTTACAAAGATGGAGCAGCAGGTGGAGGTGTTACTTACAAAGATGGAGCAGCAGGTGGAGGTGTTACAAAGATGGAGGAGCAGGTGGAGGTGTTGCTTACAAAGATGGAGCAACAGATAGAGGTGTTACTTACAAAGATGGAGCAGCAGGGGGAGGTGTTACTTACAAAGATGGAGCAGCAGGTGGAGGTGTTACTAACAAAGATGGAGCAGCAGGTGGAGGTGTTACTTACAAAGATGGAGCAGCAGGTGGAGGTGTTACTAACAAAGATGGAGCAGCAGGGGGAGGTGTTACTTACAAAGATGGAGCAGCAGGTGGAGGTGTTACTTACAAAGATGGAGCAGCAGGTGGAGGTGTTACTTACAAAGATGGAGCAACAGGTGGAGGTGTTACTTACAAAGATGGAGCAGCAGGTGGAGGTGTTACTTACAAAGATGGAGCAGCAGGTGGTGTTACTTACAAAGATGGAGCAACAGGTGGAGGTGTTACTTACAAAGATGGAGCAGCAGGTGGAGGTGTTACAAAGATGGAGGAGCAGGTGGAGGTGTTGCTTACAAAGATGGAGCAGCAGGTGGAGGTGTTACAAAGATGGAGGAGCAGGTGGAGGTGTTACTTACAAAGATGGAGCAGCAGGTGGAGGTGTTACTAACAAAGATGGAGCAGCAGGTGGAGGTGTTACTTACAAAGATGGAGCAGCAGGTGGAGGTGTTACTAACAAAGATGGAGCAGCAGGGGGAGGTGTTACTTACAAAGATGGAGCAGCAGGTGGAGGTGTTACTAACAAAGATGGAGCAGCAGGTGGAGGTGTTACTTACAAAGATGGAGCAGCAGGTGGAGGTGTTACTTACAAAGATGGAGCAGCAGGTGGAGGTGTTACTTACAAAGATGGAGCAACAGGTGGAGGTGTTACTTACAAAGATGGAGCAGCAGGTGGAGGTGTTACTTACAAAGATGGAGCAGCAGGTGGTGTTACTTACAAAGATGGAGCAACAGGTGGAGGTGTTACTTACAAAGATGGAGCAGCAGGTGGAGGTGTTACTTACAAAGATGGAGCAGCAGGTGAGGTGTTACTTACAAAGATGGAGCAACAGGTGGAGGTGTTACTTAAAAAGATGGAGCAGCAGGTGGAGGTGTTACTTACAAAGATGGAGCAGCAGGTGGAAGTGTTACTTACAAAGATGGAGCAGCAGGTGGAGGTGTTATTTACAAAGATGGAGCAGCAGGTGGAGGTGTTACTTACAAAGATGGAGCAGCAGGTGGAGGTGTTACTTACAAAGATGGAGCAGCAGGTGAAGGTGTTACTAACAAAGATGGAGCAGCAGGTGGAGGTGTTGCTTACAAAGATGGAGCAACAGATAGAGGTGTTACTTACAAAGATGGAGCAGCAGGGGGAGGTGTTACTTACAAAGATGGAGCAGCAGGTGGAGGTGTTACTAACAAAGATGGAGCAGCAGGTGGAGGTGTTACTTACAAAGATGGAGCAACAGGTGGAGGTGTTACTTACAAAGATGGAGCAGCAGGTGGAGGTGTTACTAACAAAGATGGAGCAGCAGGTGGAGGTGTTACTAACAAAGATGGAGCAGCAGGTGGTGTTACTTACAAAGATGGAGCAGCAGGTGGAGGTGTTACTAACAAAGATGGAGCAGCAGGTGGAGGTGTTACTTACAAAGATGGAACAGCAGGTGGTGTTACAAAGATGGAGCAGCAGGTGGAGGTGTTACTTACAAAGATGGAGCAGCAGGTGGAGGTGTTACTTACAAAGATGGAGCAGCAGGTGGAGGTTTTTACTAACAAAGATGGAGCAGCAGGTGGAGGTGTTACTAACAAAGATGGAGCAGCAGGTGGAGGTGTTACTAACAAAGATGGAGCAGCAGGTGGAGGTGTTACTTACAAAGATGGAGCAGCAGGTGGAGGTGTTACTAACAAAGATGGAGCAGCAGGTGTTACTAGCAAAGATGGAGCAGCAGGTGGAGGTGTTACTAACAAAGATGGAGCAGCAGGTGGAGGTGTTACTTACAAAGATGGAGCAGCAGGTGGTGTTACTTACAAAGATGGAGCAGCAGGTGGAGGTGTTACTTACAAAGATGGAGCAGCAGGTGGAGGTGTTACTAACAAAGATGGAGCAGCAGGTGGAGGTGTTACTAACAAAGATGGAGCAACAGGTGGAGGTGTTACTAACAAAGATGGAGCAGCAGGTGGAGGTGTTACTTACAAAGATGGAGCAGCAGGTGGAGGTGTTACTTACAAAGATGGAGCAGCAGGTGGAGGTGTTACTAACAAAGATGGAGCAGCAGGTGGAGGTGTTACTAACAAAGATGGAGCAGCAGGTGGAGGTGTTACTAACAAAGATGGAGCAGCAGGTGGAGGTGTTACTTACAAAGATGGAGCAGCAGGTGGAGGTGTTACTTACAAAGATGGAGCAGCAGGTGGAGGTGTTACTAACAAGATGGAGCAGCAGGTGGAGGTGTTACTTACAAAGATGGAGCAGCAGGTGGAGGTGTTACTAACAAAGATGGAGCAGCAGGTGGAGGTGTTACTTACAAAGATGGAGCAGCAGGTGGAGGTGTTACTTACAAAGATGGAGCAGCAGGTGGAGGTGTTACTTACAAAGATGGAGCAGCAGGTGGAGGTGTTACTTACAAAGATGGAGCATCAGGTGGAGGCGTTACATAGATGGAGCAGAGGGTAGAGAGGTTACTTACATGGCACCAACGTAGAGTGTGTCCCGGGACTCGTCCATGTGAAATGTGCGGTAGTAGAGTAGTCCACATGAGAACTCCCGCACGTGGTCTGTCAGGAAACACAACAACGACATCATTAGTACCATTCATATCTAATAAGCCTTGATACATCTGCAGTACATGGCTACCATATAACAGTTACACTGTGAACACAAGTATATTGCTAGCCTGTTTTATTGTAGTTATATAGTGTTAATAAAAGTCATTAATACTTCCTGCCATAGTGCATCACACAGGATGAGAGTTCATGCCTCAGGTAAGGAAATTTGTCAGCCAGAACCGGGAGACTTCAATAGGCTCAAAATAATACCTTCAAAGGTCTCATTCCACTCCATAGGAGAAGTCTGGGATATTTGCTGTTTGGGGGGATATTTGAACTGTCGTATGTACGCGCCTCTGGCAAGAGAGTGATAGTGTGAATGATGGTGAAAGTGTTTCTTTTTCGGGTTACTCCACTTAGGTGGGAGACGGTCAGTAATATCCTCCATAATGTGAGAAATCGCCAAAGCGCTTGGAATTTCACTATTTTTTTCAGTGGTTCTTTTGCGTGAATAATATACGGTACACTAACTGCTTTATTAGTTCTAGTTTAGTGTTTTAATTATATATTTTGATTATATAGAAAAAAAATTAAATGGATAAAAGATACGACTCACAATTACACATTAAAAATTTACATCGTATAAAGGTGTATACACGTCATGAGGGGGAGTGGGAGAGGGCGGGGAGAGCTAGGGGGGGTGGGAGAGTGACAGGGAGAAGAATGGGGAGAGTGCAGGGAATCAAGACTGCTGAGAGAGAGAGAGAGAGAGAGAGAGAGAGAGAGAGAGAGAGAGAGAGAGAGAGAGAGAGAGAGAGAGAGAGAGAGAGAGAGGTGCAGGTGTTGTTGAGCATAGTTCCTGGCCCCGACTTTTAACTCAAACAGATCAACATTACTAGTTTCTAGCACTTGCTGGGCCTCGCCTTACCTACCCTATACGAACAGCTCCTTTCAAGGCAGGTGAAATCCCAGAAGTGGAGGCTGCACACAGAACCTTTACTACCCGAGTAAATTCAGTCAAGCATCTGAAGTACTGAAACACCTGAAGTTCATGGAACTCTACTTCAAACGTAACTATGCCAGAACGATATATAATTACACCTAGAAAATTCTGGAATTACTGGTCCAAAATCTACACAATGAGATCACTCCCTACGAGAGCAAGAGGCTTGGAAAACTGTGCTAAATACCCCTGATGAAAAGTATGGACGTGGTGAGTAAGCTAATGAGATAACTCAGTAAATGTAAAGGGACCAACACTCTTCAATACTATCTCTTTTCATATATATACGAGCAATTACCAGCAAACCCTTTGTTATCGTTAAGAAGTGATTTCACAGCGTTCAAGTTAGTTCCTGATCAGCCGGGCTGTGGTGCATATGCTGTCCTCCGTGTGAATTAGATTTACACCAAGAATCTGGAGGCTTGGTCTGAGACCGGGTCGCGAAGGCAGTAATTACCTGGAATCGTTTTCAGGTAACCTAAAGCCGACCTTGAGGTAACCGGGCCGCGGGGGCGTTGATCCCCGGAATAACCTCCAGGTAACCTCCAGGTAACCATCTCGACGTCTTATCACCCTGAGGCTGAAAAATTAATCCCTAATGTCCGTATTAAGTGTCCCGTAGCTCGATCGCTAGCGCACTCAGCTCACACACTGAGGTCCGGGGTTCGAATCTCCTCCGGTACGGCTGGAAAACATTAGGGACGTATTTGCATAAGACACCTGCTGTCCCTGTTCCTGTTCACCTATCAGTTCAAAATGGGTACCTGGGTGTTAGTGGACTGGTGTGGGTCGCATCATGGAACAAAACTGACCTAATTTGCCCGAAATGCTCTGCATAACAAGCGGCTTTCTATATAGCAGTATGTCAGTGATGTCAGCTAGGTCTGTATACCTTGTACATGTACTTGTAGTAAAGATTATTATTATATTATTGACATTACGTCGGACGGCGTAGTCTCCCTGTAGCTCCAAGAACATGTAGCCACTAATTTTCCAAGTAACTTGTATCCTCGCAGTACCTTCACCACAGTGTTGTCGAAGGCCTAACAAACTTTTATAACCCCCAACGCTTCGCTGTGTGTGTAGTTTCATCAACATCTACCCTTAATAAGTCTCTCCAGAGTAGGAAAACTCTCGAAAGCCTCCAAAGGTATAAATGTATACTAATACATACTTGTAGAACGCGTGCCTTCTACACCAGCGTGGAGAGTAGAACATGGGACCGACCCCCCTCAACGTTGCTGGTGAGTGAGCCGCTGTAATCACTTGATGCAGCCCACAACACAAACAATTAATATACATTTCACATGAAAACCAAATATAATTGCGCTAAAAACATCCAAACTCTCCCCCCCCCCCGTTCATAAAAAAAAAAGAGAGGCTGTGTTTCCACGTTGACAAAGATACTCATTGTATGAGCGAGGCAGCCAGCACACAGCACACGGGGAAAAATCTCTGACAATCAATAACAATTACTCCAAGCAGTGAAACAAAAAACAAAAAAAAACAAATAAACAAACTAGCGCATGAACACGCAAACGCAAATGCACACACATACGCAGACACAGTCACACACACACACACACACATACAAACACACACACAATATAGGCAGGAAGAACAAATGGAAACGACAACATGGCACTGTTGTCCAAATTTATTAGATGCGGAGGCCAGCCCGGCTTTAATTGATGCTGCGATTGCAATAAACTGTTGAGAGGAGAGAGAGAGAGAGAGAGAGAGAGAGAGAGAGAGAGAGAGAGAGAGAGAGAGAGAGAGAGAGAGAGAGAGAGAGAGACAGACAGAGAGAGAGACAGTGAGAGAGACAGAGAGAGAGACAGAGAGAGAGACAGAGAGAGAGAGACAGAGGACAGATAAGGCGAAGGAAGAATTAGACCGAAATAACCCCTTATGAAAACTGAAGATAAATTAGTGAAGACAAGAGAGCCGGAGAGAAACCGGAGTGCAACAAGTAGCGTGAAAGATAACTTAATTAGTGTAAAGGGACCAAGACTTCGACTCCCTCTCTCTATATACAAAGGAAATTACTACACACCTTTAACTGTCTTCACCTTTAAGCTGCTCCTGAACAACCCGACTGTTGGGCATACTAAGAATACCAACAACCTGCCTAACGCAGCTTTACTGGCTTCCAGTGTTGTACCCTCGCAACCCAGCTTGAAGCCATACTTCCTTGCTGACTGTTAGATCAACCAGGCTGTGGCTACCAGTAACCTGCAAGCATTCACAGCTATTACAAACTGTCTGCTGTTGTAAGACGGCCACTGCCATCGCCAAGCACCAGATCAACCAGGCTGTGATAGCTACGTGATGTAGCCGGCTAGCAAACAGCCTGCTGGAAGAGAGAAGGCTGGCCCCAGGCTGGTCTGCGAAGATATAAAAACCTCTCGGAACTGATCATAGGTATGTTAAAGGTAGGTAGTAACCAGGTTCCTCTCGAAAACTTCCACTCTTGCTCCTGTAAACTCTCTGATATCAGCTGCTAGCAGGCTGAAGAGTCGGCTGACATAAATATTCCCAAGTCTTCCACGTGTTTCTTTCGTTATATTTAACGACTGTCTTAGAGTTTTGTATACAGTGTCCCTTTTCATTTCTTCATTTTTTCCATACCTAAGCAGCTGGAACTTATCACCATTGAACTTCATGTTGTTCTCCACTTCCCACTGGAAAACTGCTGATATCTCTCTGCATTTTTTCCGTATCTTTTAGCGTAGTGACTTTCATGATTATTTTAGTGTCATCTGCAAATTATAATATAAAACTGTGACGTGTGTTTTTATGTATATCTTCTATGAGGATGAGAACAACGGTGCCAAGACGGTGCCTTGAGGCACTAAGCTTTTTACCTCGCTGATGCTGGAATTTGCTGCTTACTACTACTCTTTGCGTTTTGTGTTAGAAACCTGGAAATCCTTCTCTGTATCGTCCCAGTTATGTCTATCGCCCTCATTTTGTGTGTAATCGCCCCATGATCGTATTTGTCAAACGCCTTTGCAAAAATCTGTGTGTATCACAACTGCGTTCTCGTTTTCTTCCAGCATCTCCGTAATTTTGTCATAGTGGTTTAGCAGTTTTGACAGGCATGATCGTCCAGTTTTAAAACTGTGCTGGTTTGAGTTATGCAGACTGTATTGTTCCATGAGCTTTCTAATTTGACATCTCATTACTCTTTCGAAGATTTTTATGACCAGCCACCACCACCAACACTAACACTGCCACTAACAACAGCTCTGCCACCACCACCACCCCCCACAGTGCCACCTTGTCTCCTGATTTCTGCTAGTAACAGTCTTGGACTACGGATGTTGACAGTGTTGTCTGGATGTAAACTGGAGTCGTAACGCCAACAAGTGCTGATAAAGACACTAATTCCAGTGACGTCCTCTATTAGTACATCACTTTCATGAGCGACTTTTTCAACTTTATGTACTTGATAAAGCCCACCCATGGGTGAAACCTGGCACCAATAAAAAGATTTCACTGAAATTATTGTCTATCACTACAATGATATATTACTGTGCCCTTTCACTGGGTCTATTTTACACTTCCTCGTATATCTCTCAATCCAGTACATTGTTAAGGTAGTTAGTGTATGTTGAGGTCCCTGTTAAGGTAGTGTATGCTGAGGTCCCTGTTAAGGTAGTGTATGCTGAGGTCCCTGTTAAGGTCCCGTCTCGCAAATATCTTCCATGTATAAGTGTATATATAATCAGGAATCCCTCCTTTCTCCGTTCCACGGAGCACAGTCCAGGTGCTTTGAAACGTCCCCAGTAATTCAGATGTTTTATGGGCAGTATGCGGGCAATAACCGACCTCGGTAACTTATTCAGCTCTGACACCTCTCCTGCCCTGAACAAGGCTGTGAGCACCATGCAATGCTCCAGATGTGAGTGCTCAAGTGTTCTGAATAGTACCGTCACTGGTGTGACCCTTGTTTTGAAAGTTCTCATTATCCACAATTCCAGCCAGTATTCTGGCTTTTGCTGCATTTACCTGTGTTGTTTAAATGATAGATACTATCT